GGGGAGAGGATGTTTGTTTTCAAAGGAGCAGGCCGGCACACTTTCGCACCTAATGCCCTCCTTGCCACAAGAAGCCCTGAGCAGACAGAAAGACAGCAGCAGACCATTCCCAGGTTAGCTTCTCAAGAAGTAGGTTAGTGGCCCAAATCATCCTCAAAAGGACTACATAGAGCTCCCTTCAAATTTCACAGTTTATGTGATCACAATAAAAAGTAAAAGAAAAGGACATTAAAACAATAAATTATACAAATGTAAAACCTTTCCTGATTAATTTTGGCCAAAATTAACTGTGAAGTTCAAGAGCACAGTGTACAACCTGTTTCAAAGAAACAGATTTGTCTTGAGTTTATCACTTACTTTAAATACCGCCCATATCAAAAAACTAAACACAGCATAATCATCTTTTAAAGTCTGAATTATAAGGCATCCCACAGTAGTTTCTTCAAGTCTAATGTTGTTATACTCATAGGATTAAAAAAGAAAAACAAAATAAGCAAGATTATTGCAAATAAACGTGACTGACTGTATGGTGTCTCCTGTTGCTCCAGGGGGTGAAAGGTAAATAAAGAAAGCTGGACATTACAATAACAACCGAAATCCGAGTTGTCTGTGACCTTAAACCAGTGATCCTGGGGCCCGACACGCTGCTGACCAGATTTGTGCGTGGGAATGTGCATGTGAGCTCCAGAACACGGGTGTGTGGTGGGGTGGGCAGAGGTGCAGGTATAGGTGAACAATAGAAAACAATCAAATCTGGTGGCTTAAAGTTATAAGAATAATCAGGTGCACAAGCATTTGGTATTCCCTCTTTTCAGGAGTGGGAAAATATTCTCAGATGAGCTGCAGACCAGATGGTGGCAGTTCCTCCGGGCCACAGCGGAGGGCGAGGCCCTTCCCTATCAGAGCATCTTCAGTAATGACTTTGGGAGTGACGCCCCACCTGGCATCAGATAAGCCTATCAACATTCTGATCGCTGGAGCAGCAAACAAACACCTCAGCCAAGGCAACCCACGGACTCCTCTCTTTTCCATTAATGCAGAGCTCTGAATGGGACTCAGGGAGGTCATGCCTCCAACGCAACTGTGTACTCAGTGCAAAACTGAAAAAAAAAAAAAAACAAACAAAAAAACCCTGTATGGGCGAAGCAAATGAAGTGAGTAATGGCTAGGAAAAAGTCCCCTCCTCAATAAGCCATGGCAGCTGTAGGTAACAATTACTCTATAACTTAGTATTTTCCACTTACAAATTTCCTAGTACTTTGATCATGGTGACTGTGTAAATAAAAGCTAACTACAAAATATATATGGACGCAAAGGGAGATGATCAGATTAATCTTCATGCTATCCACTGCCTAGTGTGTGTCTCCTCTCTGGGAAGGCTGTGACTACACCCTTTGTACTTATGGAAAAGACAACTGCACCTCGGGGTCCTCTGAGCACTAAGTGAGGAGCACGAAGCTAGAACACAATAAACCACTCCCATCGTTTAATCCTCAGTGAGTCTCAGCAGACACATCACACACACTAGCAAGACAGCAGAGAGAAGTGGGCAGGAGAAAGGACCGGAAAGAACACGGACAGTGTGTTGCTTATTTTAGTAGTGCCATCACTGGGATTCCTCTGCTGGTCCAGCCTCTATCCAGCAAGGGACTGGACTTACATATTGAAGCCTAATACCCTCTAAAGACTAAATTTTCAAAATAATGGTGTTTATAAAAACAACGTAATATTTAAAAAGTAACTGCAGCTTCACCAACCAAACACAATTAAATTTTACATCTAATGTTGCCAGTAGAGTATACTACAGTGAAGTGAATGGTTTTCCCCAGAGACTCAGCCACAGTGAAGCCAGGAATTAATTAAACAGAAAAATGGAAAATACACGGTGATAAAGGGGTCAGAATGACAACCACGTTGGGGCACTATACCCTGTAGCTGGAAGATAAACTACATCTGACACTGGTGTAATCCTTCAAAAGGATGGGCTCACTTTACGGTTCCGATTAGGAAAGATGAGTTAGTTCAATAATTACAGTGAATCAATTTGTATGTAAAAATTATAAAACAATTTCTTAACTATATTATATACAGTGATAAAAGGATATATATTATATAAATGTTTTAGTGTACAGTTATACTTTAGGGGACTTAATATCAGCTTCAAGTGATGTTATTCATAGCCATAATTTGTTGTATGTTATATCGTGACAAATGACCCACTTGATTTAAAAATTCTAAGTTGTGTGGCCCAAGAAACACAGCGGGCACTGCCTGCCTTTCACTGAACTGACTTTGCGGATGAACTACAGCTCCGGCCTCTCTGTCAACCACGATGACGAGTGCCCAATGGCACCAGCAGGCAATCTCCACTGCCACACACATAGGGTTTCTCTCCCACCAGCCAGACGTCATGCTAACCAAACTTGTTTATGCCAGTTGACTTGTTACTGTAATTATGAAATTTAATTAAATATTATGAAAGCTTATGTAATATGAGCACCCAAGATAAACTTTGTTTCTACTAAAAGCTAAGTTGAAGGCTTTGGAAAGACTTAATAGAGACAAATCACTAAAAAGAAAGCTGTTGAATGAGATGTGAGTGAAAAGAAAAAAATATGAAACCCAAGGTTTTATAATATTCAGATTGCTCTGCTAGTGTCGATGTTTTTGCTCTTGTGGCTATACTATTAATACATTATAGAACTCAGAACAGCAGAATCACTGTCAAAGAAATGCCCTTGGCCTCACAAGAGTTTGGCAAATATATTTTAATGAAAATATAATATTTTGAATATGTATAACACTTTAAAAAGGTTTCCCAATTAACCTTTTCAATTTAACCTGGTATTTTCAATTAACCAGTTCCAATTATGCTGGATAAGAGGGGTATTTTCCATGTTTCAAATTAGAAACTACTTTGGATTGGTGACTTTTAAATTTATGAAGTATGATGAGCTAAGATAGATTACTCTGATATATAGGCACTCAAATTTTTATCCCAAACTCTGGACAGAGAAAAATACTTTAAACAAACTTCTACCAGACTGAAACACAAAAATAGGCTCCTCCCCTTTAGAGGAAAGAAGAGAGCAGGGCACACAGGTTAAGAACATGACTGACCGGTTCCAGTATTACTAGCTCCATGACAGCATAAGCACTAGAGTCACTTAAGCCCAGTTTTCTCCTCTGGAAAATGTCACCAATAGAGATCCTACCTCAGTGGGCAGAGAACTGTAATGAGAAAATGAATGTCCTATCAAGGTTCAGCAAAGTTCCTGATACATATAAGTGCTCAAAAACATGTTCATTGTTGATGCTATCATATTGCCTAACTGGAAAAGATTGCCTACTACTACATGAGTAAGAGTATAACTAATTTGCTCTCTCTTACATTGGACTTCAAGTATCAGTTGTGAGCAAGATGGCCTCCACCTAGAGACAGTTCAGAATCACCTGTGGAAAGTCTCCCCAGGTACAATGAATGAATCAGGCATTCTCAACTAGGCGCAATATTACTACTGCTGAAGGGGTATCTGGCAGTGCCTGGAGATACTTTAAGTTGTCACACCTCGGGTGGGAGAGAGGATACCTGCTGGCATCAAGGGTGTAGAGGCCAGGGGTGCTGCTAAACATTCTGCAACGCATAGGCTAGCCCCCCTGCAGAAAACTATCTGGCCCCAAATGCCAAGATGGCAATACTGAGAAACCCTATTATTTTAAAGGACAGTACAAGAAAAAAGTGATCTCTAAAATCTGAATCCCAGAAAATTATTGAGAGAATAAAGACTGCTTAAAAATGAAACTGGGGTCTTCATTATCATATTGATTCCAGGACCATTGCCATAAATATTTAGGAGACATATGTATTTGTAACAAGATAAGATTCTTTGGTCAACAGATCCTTTCGAATGGGGTCTATCATGTAATAACCTTACAATAAAATTCATTCTAAAGCCATAATAATGAGTGCTAAAAATGAAATGTCATTTGGGAGAATAAGTCTACGTAAGACTCAAAACTCCAGAACAGTTTTAAGTGAAAAATCAAAACATGGCTGCAGTCATTTGCATACAGGCGGCCTCTCACCTGGCCGCAGAGATTGCTGAGCCAGGCAGTGCTCTGGACCGCAGGTGCACGTCCCTCCTTGGGGAGCATCCTGTTTCCTAGCGTGGAGGTTTCTATGACAAACTTCCTACTCTTCAATGAATAATGCTGCTCAAAAACACTTTAGAAAGCTTTTGAGTTCATTTAAATTACTGTTTAATAAATCACAGGGCCTTTCTGAAAAGTATGGATAAAACTGTATACAAAGTATAATCCACCAATATATGTATTGTTTTTCCCCTACAGAACAACAACAACAACAAAAAAAAAGACTAGAAAGGAAGTCACCAACAGGTTAAGGGTACTTGTATCTAAAGTGCTTTTTTCTGCTCAAATACAGAAGACCTAAGTTTGATTCCTGCCTCTGAAACTCATTGGCTCTGTGACTTTTGTGAAATAGTGTAATTAATTCCCACTAAAATTCCTGCGAAACAGATAAGAATGCATTACAATTCCCATTAATTGATGAGAACATTGAGGAGGAAAAGCAATAGTCCTGTACCAATTGCAAAAGTGCTTAATTAATGAAAGGTTACATTAAGATTAGTTTTGTAATCCTTAAGATAAAGCTATATTTAAAATATTTTCAACTTTAAAATGTATCCCTAAAGGTAAAACAAGTCTTCTATACAAAGACTATAATCTCATACAGTAAATCAAAGGGTCTGTATTATTTTTTGAAAACATGAATATTTAACATACAAGGCATTTTATTACCTGAAAGGAAATAACTCAAAAAATGCAAAAAAAAAATTGCAGCAAATACTATTTAACTATTTTACCATCAAGAGAAAAGAAGCAATACATGAAAACTTTTGTCACACTGCTCAAAGAAACAAATAGTACTCCCAGAAAGTACACACAGAAAATTAAAACAACGAAAGCTACCTACTCACCCTTCTGATAGAAGAATTTCCTGTAATAGTAAGCGCCGAGGTCCACATGCTCCACAATGTACCTTTTCACTCGATCCAGATGCAGCACCAAGTTCTCCTTGGGCACCTCCAGGACCGCCACTCCTGCATTGGTGCAGTGGGAGCTCAGTGCAGACTCAAAGGAGGCACTTTCACATCCACTGAAGGAACCGGAGTTGGATTTGGACAGACTGATTTTCCTTTCACCTTCTCCACCTATCTCGTTCCGGAAATACGGGCAGCTCATTACAAGTTCGTTGCTTTTATCGTCTCCCTGGTCCATCCCGAGGCTTCCCTTGGAATTCAGGTCCTCCGTGCTGCCCATCGGGGAGCTGAAACTGGTCGAGTGAGACAATGGCCCTGAAACTAAGGAAGCCACGGCAGCTGCCGAAGCCCCCGTGGTGGTGTTCCTCCTCTTAATAACATTGTGCCTGTTCATAATCGCCTCATTCAAGTCAAACAATATACTCTGAACATCGTAGTGGGCAAAGCACTTTGGACATGTCCAGGGTCTGACAGAGTCTTCTGATCGGTTATCTTCAAGATCGGATGATTTCCCAAGTTCGTCAGCTTTGGCATTGCGTAATTTACGAAAAATGGAAGAGTCTCCGGTTTCAGACTTGGACCGTCGCTTGAGTGGTTTTTCCCGTTCCTTGAAGAGCCTGAGGTTCTCTCTCTGTGAGATGGGCCCATCTATGACATCCAAAGAGAAACCAGAACCCTTGGCCCCACCGGCGATGAGAAAGTCACTGAGCTTGGTTGGAGTTGGACCTCGATCGGATTTGTCATCTTTGTAGCCCTTTAACAAGTCAAAGAAGCTCTCTCCGGACGTTCCCTGCTTATCGATCGAAGATGTGCTACCATATTCCCTGTGCAGTGATGGCCCAGTCTTGTATGTGGGCGAGATACATTCATCAAAGCTATCCACGTCAAGTTCACTTATGGTGATATCACTGTTGCTCCGCTGCCGTATTCTGCGAAGAGCCTTCCTGGGGGAGCTGGGATAGGCTTCAGGCATGAGAAATCTGGAGTCCATGTTCTCCAGCGGCCGGGTCTTGTTCTTCAGCGTGTTCTGTATGCTCTTCAACATGGCTGAGTCACTGGAATTGAGGCTAACAGAACTTCCCTGACTCACAGGACTGCTTTTGGAGGACAGGCTCTCAAGGCAACTTGAGGTTTCTATTTCCTGGCTTGAACGGCTAGATTCTTTTACGTTTTCCTTCCTTGGGGGCCAATCTGCAATTCTCGCCCTAACCCCCATCTTTGGAACTCCGGGGGTCGAGGTTATATGGTGAGGGCCTTCGCTGCGGGGGGGCCCCACGGGAGCCATGACCGAGGATCCCAAGCTGCCATTTTGGGACCTGAAGCGCCGCATGTAGAAGTCGTCAGTGTGCACTTTGGGAGGGCCATCTGCGCCGACCACGGAGGCCCTCTCGGTGGCAATAGGCCTCTCCGTCTGCGACCGTTTCAGGCTGGTCATGGTGGGAAAGCAACCGGACTTAAATCCCTGCAGAAAGGACCATCATATCTAAGTTGTAAATGTGCACTTCCCTTACGGAGAACGGGTTCCAGCAAAGACAGCAGCTGCTCAAGATCTTAATCTTTTTCATTTAAAAGGTTAAATGATGCCTTGTTTTCAAGCTTCTGAAAATCCAAATCTTCAAAACATTATAATCCACTATTGTTTCTTTGCTTCACTTTAATAAATGGCTTCCTTTGAGAAAAAACTGAATGGAAGTTGTATTACTGGGACTCTGTGGCTGCCATAATCCCATGCTTTCTCTAAAAGAGAGAAGGACAATTGGAATTAGCATTCGATAAATACATCTAAAAATAAATACGCAACTGCCAAAACCAGACACACGAAAAGACAAGACTTCATAATGGATGTGGTTCGCAGCTCACAACCCAGTATTTTAGTAAAGCAGGTTTGAAAGAGAGGAAGAAAGTAAAACTGTTTAATAAAATTAATCTTTTAAATTATATACATTTTAAAAGACTATTAATACTTCAGCCTAATTGAACTGTTTCATGTAACTGGGAGACAGAGAGGATCTCGTTCCAGGATACCGAGGCCCCAACCCTTAGGACAGACCCAGCAGGGACTCCAGTGACCTCTGATGAGCAGAGCATCCGAACCGCCGTGCTGACCAGAAGTTTGAGACACAGCCAACCGAGTTCAGTACTTAGAGCAACACACAGTCAGTGTTCAACAAGGCTAAAAAACTGAAAAATTATTTAACATGTTGCAACACTCATTTTTTAACACCTACATTTCGAAATCCTATCTTGTCTTTTGTTTCTTTACAAAGGCTTAACATAGTTGGCAAGAGCAAACCCAACCGAGAGAAAACAGTGTTTTCCCAGAGCCATTACATCCGTGAGCACTCTTCTGCATTTTCCTCCACTTTATTACTTACCCCAAAGAGGAATATTTCAGAGCGAATCCAGCATTCACCACCACCTCTTGCCAGGCTCTCTTCAGTTCCATCCACTCCTAAAGCTAGAACTATTTCACAAAATGCCGGCATCTCCTCATGCATTGCAACCCACCCCACCCTTCAGTGTTAATTTATGAAGAAAGCAGAAACAAAATGCTGCGGTGGCCAGATCTCCGCATACTCCCCAAGAGGCGACAGAGAACTGTTAACATCCTTCCAGGTGAGGGCCGAAGAAAACCAACTTCCTCATGTGCACATCAGTCAGGAGGCAAGAGGCACAATTTCTGAGTACAAAATCCTGCATGGTGGCGTACATCCTGAAAATAAAGGCAGAGGACCCTTTTCCAGGACTCCACAAAAGGCACAAGAGGTGGCCTTTAAATTCTTGCCAAATCCATGTTGGGGAAGATGCTGCTGAACCAGCACTGCGCTGACAGGGCTGCATTGTCTACAAATCACGGCTGACACCCGAGGGCGACCCGCGCACTCCCCGCACTCCGCACGGCAGTAACAAGCACTTACTTCCACAATAATTAAGCATCTTGCTTGTCGGCTTCCTGCCTGCAAGGCAGCGGCTTTAGTTCCTCTTGCAGTACGCAGCATCATTTTAGAAGACTCGCTGCTATTTAAAGGCTGGAACATTGAGGGGTGTTTCAAAAACTGCACGCCGCCTGCAGAATGCAGGGCGAGCCTAGCTCCAGCTGGGCTCCCGGGCTGGGCTGGGCAGCGGCTCAGATAAACGCCAATTGTTCTCCTGCCCCTCCCCTTCCCCACCTTTTGTGAGGGGGATAATGGTTTTGCACTGCTACCTAATTAAACCTGGCTTCTGCGCTTTCTAGAGAGTTCTGCTGTCACAGTGCTCTGATTTCCTTTCCGTTTCAGAACTTTACAGGCTCCTCTTAAACATTAAGCCTTCAAGTGGAAGAACGTGCTAACTGTTGCGTCCGAAGGCAGCACACGTGGCCACAGCTCAGAATCAAGGGGTGCCCGTCACAAAACAGAAGGAAAACCAGTCACCTGAGCCAAAATGCAAAGTAAGCACCCATCCATCACCAAGGGAACAATCTTCTGACAGTGCAAGCCAGATCTTCTGAGCTATTTTTTTAACTGGAGGGAAAAATGCTGTTTATTTCAATGAAATAAATATCTTTCAGAGAAAAAATGCACTCTCATAAGGAATAATTCTAAATAGACTTTTATAAAAACCAGATGCTTTCCACACTTCTCACAAAGTCAAGATAAATCACCTTAGTGCCAGAACTCTCATTCTCAAAAAGGCCAGTAAACCAGTCCCAACAGGATAAAAACTCATTCTTGCCACATTTCACTTCCCTCAGAAAACAGCATGTTGCAGGACTGTCTTTCTAAGGACATGTGAAGTTGATCCACTGTAGAAGGAAACTAGAAGCCAGCACTAAAATACAACCACCTGAACTTTGAACTGACTCGGAAACACCCAGTCTTGATCATTACTATTGATTCTGCAGTTCTCTTCAGAACATCACATATGCTTCCTATATTTTTAATGGATTAAAAAAAATCTTACTCTAAACATAAAAATTTCATCACAGTTTAAAGGACATGCCAAGCCTCCTATTACATCTTTATTATAGCAACGCACTGTCTTTTTTTTTTTTTTCCATTTCAAAATATAGATGAGCACAGGGCAGGAGAGTGCCCACAGTTTAATGACCTATAGAGACTTAGGAGGTTTAAGACAGACGACTCCTAAGTTAAATGACAATTTTTCCCCATTCTTTCCTACTTTCCCTTTTTCTCCCCTCCCTTTCTCCACCCTCATTTGTATCATCATACCCCTCCTGGTGCAATATAAACTTTGCACGCTGACTAAGCCTATGTGGAAATACAATATATGCTGTGGATTAAACTATGAGTAAAAATAGAGATGTCATCCATGTGGGCAATACAGGCATACCTCGGAGACGCTGCGGGTTCGGTTCCAGACCACCGCAACAAAGCCACTACTGCAATAAAGCAAGCTGTAATCTTTTTGCTGGGGGAGGGTCTTGCTTTTAATTTATAAGAAGTGCAACATCTGTGAAGCTCAGTAAAGCAAAACGCAGTAAGATGAGGTATGCCTGTATGCTGACAAATCAATAACAGCCAAAACCCAGTCCTTAGGATCGATGGAAATGGCAAACATATGCTGACAATTATTAGTAATTCTGATTATCAGTAAACCTGCCTAAGCATCACTAAATATGGCAAAAAGCAATAGAATTAAACAGAGGAACAATACTTATTTACAGCATGTCACCTCCATCTGTTGAAAGAGCAAGCTATATAAGAAACTTCCTTGTTACATATTTAATTTTACAGCTGGAGCTACTATTTGAGTCCATGGTAGATCCATTTGGCTAGAACACCAATCCCACTTTTAGTTCCGTGAGTTGGTGGAAACTATATCAGAAAACGAGAAGATCCATTCAAATCCTACTAGTTGAAAGTCTATTCATCACTCGGTCTAGCACAACATAACCTACCACCCTTTCCTGATAACGCCATTCTTCCAGAAGAAGTGCTTTCTCCTTGCCTCTAACTCCTCCCCAGATTTTCTGCATTCTCTTCTAAGCATCAACCACACACTGGGTGCTAGGGACAGCTGAGAAAACAGGCCCTTCTTCCAAGGGAAGCTGCAGGTGTAAAACAATCCTTGTCATTCTCTCTGAGACATTTACACTTTTGACCCCTCCCTCCTTTCTGAAACTCTCTTCTCTGGACCTCCAGGATCACCGTGTTCTTCATTTTCTCTTGCCTCTCGCTTTTTGCTCACTCCTCCGTATCACCGGGAGGCTCCATGTAGAAGCTGGTGATTCCAGGGTGATTTCCTCGGCTTACTTCTCTTACCGTTCTTCGTATTTTTGGAAGGGACTGTGAAGGGTACAGTACTAAGATGTGAGCCCTTGAGTGCCTTAGGGTGTGATCGCAGACCTGGGTATACTGGAGTAAACATATTACCCTGGAAAGCAGGGTGCTGACTTGGTTGGACCACAGTTGTCTGTGCAACTGAATAAAAACAGAATAATGAAATTACTTGACGAGATATGTGCGTGGTGGCCAGTGTTCTGGTGATGTTATAGGTACCTGCAGCTTTAAATATCTATGTAGTTACTTCCAAATCTCTACTTGTGATCTGCTACCCTAAACTCCAGATAATATATATGAAAGTGCTCGTTTGATATCTTCCTTATTTATATATTTTATACAATTAACTGACAAGGAAAAAGTGAAAAAATCTTTTTTTCCCAAGAAATGAATAGGTGGTAAGGAAGTGAAAACAATACATAATACAAGGAACCAAATGGAGAGAACAGCATGGGAACGAACCACCTTCCTTATGCCAGGGGCGTAAAGAATAGTTTAAAGGCTACACTGAAAGATGTGGGAAGGAAGAACAAAACAAGAAAACACCAACAACTACAGTTTCTTTCCTGACACAATTTGTAGTACAGTATGCTGCATTCACCAAAAAGGTGTAGCACTCCTCATCAAATACTTCCACAGTCCCAAATGGCATCTGTCAGATTCCCTAGCTGGCGCAACCTCAAGGGCAGAGCCAGCTCTCTCTACTTCGGGGCAACGGGAGTTTTAACAACTAGTGCACTGCTCCAGTAATTGAGAACTACGCTATACGATCCTAAGAGCATTCATGAAAACATCAATGTAAATAGTTTATGAGGTTGAATAGACAGATTTAGAACACCCATAAGTATTCTTACTTTAGAATATAATAGACAATTTTGTTTTCAAACAGAAGTTTGACTTCAGTGCTTGAACATTAGATTAAATAAGATAACCAAATAAGACAAACTATTCTCTTTATATTCCTTCTTGGCTTTCCTAAAATTCACTCACATTACACACAAGTAACAGCTCAGATAAAGGGACATCTCGCTCTTTCAAGTGAGCCTGAAACACATACAAACAACTCAGTGCCGTGTCATCCATAACTTAAGCTTCATGAATCAGCACGTAACTTTTTAGACTCGAATTTCCCCTGTAACAAAAAGTCCCAGGAAGGACTGGGAAAAACGGAGTTGGTAAATCTAGTTCCTGCTCTCCAAATGTTCACTGTCTGAACAAGACAACACTGACTTGAAAGTCAATTTAAATAACTTACCCTGAAATTAACCAAGTGAATAAGTATGGATACAAATATGTACATAAAAGGATAGAGTTTCATTTACATATAAGAAAGCAATTTATTTATCTATCTGTACCCTCGGACATGCCTATTGATTTTTTTAAAGGGGGGGAAGGCAGGGAGAGAGAGGAGAGAAACATCCGTTACTTGCCCCTCATTCGTGCCCCAACTGGGGA